ATGCCAGGTCCCCATATTGGCAGAGCTAGATTTAGACTTGTTAAGGCCTTGAGCTATTTGAGATATGGGCCCCTTTATAAGTCTCTTATAATATATTTTAATACTATTTATACTATAATTTGGAGGGTCCTAAGCTATAGCTTATACATAAATCCAGCTCTGCATATTGGTGATGACAGGTATGACAAGGACTTGCAGCTCTGACAGCTGAGGAAAACAGCAAATAATCTTACATGTGTCGTGGCACTTCCTGACACACCCCACACTATAATAACAGTCCCACTTTGGAACTACACTCCAACAATGCAACATTCAACCATGACCTATCACATTCTTTAGTATCACATTACAAATGCTGTTGTGAGACTGTGGCTTCTCGGCATCCAGTCGGTGTGTGTACTGGAAAACAGATCCAAATGTTCATTCTCAGGACCAAAATGCACTTGCACCTTAGCTGTGTGATGCTTTGTTTCTATACCACAGAATTGGGTTTAACTTCTGAAGTCAATTTACAACCGTCATTTAGGGATTGCGTCAGTAGATAGTGGCAGCATAATGAGCTAATGCAAAATTTCTCACAAGCTGGTTCCCTTCAGATATTTGTAAACATTACTAATTAATACTGTTGACTTGACTGCTTTGAAATGTGAAGCTAAGTAATGATTTTTCTTTACAGTCAGTAAGTAAAATGTAATGCACACTGTATCTATAAAATTTCACAGCTAAATTCATAAAAAATTTGGGATCTAAGGGAAATAACGTTATTATTGTTTAACCTTCTACATCTGTATCCTTTGTTAATGTCAGCTCTTGGAACACTTTCTTCCCATCATTACAATCTTGTAAACTTTTTAAATTGTAATTTCGTTTTGAGGAGCAGAAAATGGATGGTCAGGTCTGGGAAGTAAGTGTTTTGATTAAAAGTGGGTACAGTTTTGTTTGCTGTAAGCTGCTTGGTTATAGTCACATTGTGCAAAATGTCCTAGTTTTTTACTTTCAGTCACTGAATACATAATAACAGATATTAACTGCACAAAATGAAATGAAAACTTCATTTAAATTTGTTCCTGGTTAAGGTTATTTTAATAAAAGCAGATTCTCCACCCTTTCCTATGTTCCTGGTGGGCAAATACATGCACTTGAACCATTTATCAGGAATAGCCAAATCCTTTAGTAATATAATATAGCTATTTTATCACGGAGTGTTGCTGAAGGTGTAAGCAATATTACACCTAAAAAGCAGCATGTGTACTGGAAAGTAAGTAAAGAGGCTGAAGTGCAGTTTTGCTTACTGTTATGATTCTTTGGTTTCTATGACTGGCTTCGATCTGATTTTCCAGAAGTAAAATTTACTTGGGTAGCAGTCACATCCTCCACTAACCACTAATACTCTCCAGGGATGCTAGAAGCATATTAAGGGGCACTGGTGATTGTTGTACCAGTTATCATTTTGCAACTTCACAGTTTAGTTGAAAAAAATTTATTCTAAATCTTTTTGAATTCATGAAGTAGATTACTGTGTAAGTAAAATTGCTGTCTTTGTTAATATGGTTATTATTGTCAAGATCCTATTAATTTTTGCATGTGATTATTATGCAAGGTTATTCTAGGCTACTGGAAAAGACTATTTAGTCTATTGCTAGAGTTAAATTTCAGATCTTGTCTAAGGAACTGTAATTTCCTTAGCCAAGTATATGTTCTGCCATTAATAGCAGAAACTATACATTTCTGATTCTTTTTCTTGAATTATACTGCCTGGTAAGAAAATGGTCATGTTAAATAGGAGTAATGAAATATTGTTTGGTAAAATGTATTTAAGTATAACTGAGATATTGTATAATATATATTGTATGATAATTTTGATCCATTAAATATTCAGATTTGATTCTATTACAAGCACTTTTTAACTATTTTACCTAGTTCCCTCTTCTCGGCATCCTCGCCAAGTCTTTTTGATTCGAGTAATTCATTCCAGCTACAGTGGAATAATTCTAACTATAGTTCTAGATGTTTATATCTTGTTTAAGGTGCCCAAAACCTAATTTTATTCTTTTTATAAGCCACCTAAATGCCTTTACATCCAAACATCATATAGTCACCCAACTACTCAAAAGTTGTGCTTTTCTGTCGCTCTAATATGAAGTTTTCTATTTATATTTCTGGCCTTGGCAACACTAAGTGTTTGTAGGCAACCGCAGACAATTCCAATCAAAAGTTTGATATTTCTAACCATAACCTCTTCAAAGCATTTTGCCATTTTAGCATGATTTGTGCTATTTACATTTCATTGAAAAATTCATCTCTGGCAAAAAATGGAACTGACTCCTGAACATTCTCGTGCATTTATTTTTCATGCAAGTACTGTTTTTATATTCTACAGCAGTGTAAAAAAATGGTATAATGAATTCAGTCATGTTCGAGGATCACTCTAGAATGAATTCCACAAAAAAGGTTGTTCGAAATCGATTGTTGTGCCAGAAAATATCGATGCTGTGCGTGAACTAATGAAGCAAGATCATCATGCAACATTCCATCCATATACATGGCAGTGTAAAGTGGCACAAAGGAAATATATGCTTCAAACACAAATGGTGCATAAAACATATTATTGTTTTGTATTTCTGCTAGGACTTTAAAAGCAGTATATACCATTTGCTGATGTATTTTTTGACATTTATTTTCCTATAATTTTCAAGTGTTTGAAGGAAATGCCTTCCTTTTCACTATTTGAAAAGACATAAACCTTTTTTCCAGCATAAATGTGACCTCATCCTTATGAAGATAATTTCTGATTTGTAAAAAGCATCTTTTACAGGCACTTTTTCTTATATATTGTGCCATTATTACAGTAGCAAACTAAATCCTATTTTCATAATAGAAGGGCTGCAGTATAAAGCTGCTTGCATCTTTATACAAGTTGCTTTTTGTATTTTCATAAGAATACAAACATATGCTAAGATTCCCCGATAAAGTTTTTGTCTTTTTAAATAGCAGCCAACAAGTGACTGAAATCTCATGACCAGATAAAGGCGATCATGCCACTCAGAGGCTTAAAGTGTGAAAAATATGAACTTTAAATTTCATACTTTATCAGTGATTTCATTTTCTTGAAATTCTTTTGATATTTAATAGTACATATGGTATATCTAAAAATGATTATAAGATCACTAAATGCAAATAAGGACTTGGATTAAATTATCCATTAAAGATTATATAAATGAAAATACACCAATTCTTTTTATTGTGCATTCTCAGTATTTTGAGTAACTGTCTTCAAAAAATTGCATAAGTTGCTTCATCATAAAATTAGTAAGTTTTTATGTAATCTTGTCTTACATATGTCTAATCTAAATATAACAAGCTAAATTAATATTTAGTAAATTAATAATAGCAATTTCACACAGCTAAAAATATTCGCTGCTGCTGATAAAATTCAAGTACTGAATGATAAACATGATAATTTAATAATATATATATATATATATCATGGTAAATATCTTATGTAGGTATTTATTCATATTATAAATCTAATTTTTTTTACTACTTATTTTTAATTTGTATATCAATTTTCCTCATGAAAATAAAACTTAACTACATTTTTCCATAGATGTTTAACCTGGAAACAATATATCCAAACATATTGTTTTGGAGTTTTAGAAATATCTTTTATATTCTTTATTTTCTTAAGCTTAAAATGCTGGGTTTTAATCATATTTTTACTTTTGGTCTTCAGGTAAATTAACTAATGATAATCTAAAATTTCTAAAACTATTATGAATACTATTAATCTTGTAAAGTTACCAGTTTCAACATGTTTATAAAAGATTGCTTCCAGTTGTCATTTCATACGAGTTGTAGTTTAGAGTCTAAATCCTAAAATGCTTCATATAAAAAAAAATTTACCTTATTTAAAAATTTTTATTAAAGCTCAATTTGAAATCTGCATTTAATCAAAACCATATACAAATATGTCCATTTATTAAAGAGAACATGAAATATAATAATTAAAACTCTTGTATCTTTAATCATTTTTCCAATAAAATTTGACAAATTATATTCAGTTTCTCACCACAGTCTCTTTAAATTAAAGCAAATGAGAGAAATTTTTTTTAAGAGTTAACACAAATTCACTCCAGAAATTAAGCATGGCACATAGGGCCGTCATGAAGTGACCGTGGTGACCTAGATATACCAAACTGCAACAATCGCCTTCTTTTTTTAATGAATATTATAAATCTAATTTTAATTTCTATGGAACATTCTTGCTTTTATTTTCTGTTTGTTTTGTATTTTATTATTGCAATTTTTAAAGCTTAGCTTGAATTATTTATAAACAATTATGCAATATAATTTCCCAAATCCTAAAAACATTGATTTTCTAGAATGAAAAAATTCCTGATTGTTTTTCGCAATAAGCCCAGTCATTATTGTTATCTGAACTGTAAATGATATTTATATTTTCTTACACTTTTATTTTAGGCAAGCATTCATGTTTTTATTTTTAATGACATCTCCCTTAATTTAAAATCAATTTCGGTAGTAACATTCACCATATTTTCTTCATCAAATTTATTTATTTATTTATTATTATGCATTGTTAAATCCTTGTCAGCTGGGAAAAAAAATTGCAGTAGGGGGAGTATTGTCACAATTTGCATAATTTGTTACTTGCTTAAATAATAAATAATTATACAGTTCGTTTTTTTCCCCCAATGGCAGATTGTGAACAATTACATATGTAACCTAGTCTATTAATTTATACAAGGCCGAATGTGGTGGTCTCTTTATTATGGAGGCACCTATTATACAGTTCATAATATTAAAAAATGCTGCACAGTAAAGAACTTTCATTAATCCCTTAATTGAACAAACATCTCTAGTTCCAATAAGTAAATATTCATTGATTCTTTTTCATCAAGGACTGAACGACCATGGATAAGCAGCCATTAACTGATGATAAATGTTGAAGCAATTGTTTTGCTTTTCAGAACACAAAGCAACCAAACATTCTTTACACTGAATTGTGGTTCTTTTTTGCACATGATTCCTACTGCATAAAGTGCACCTTCTTCGTCTCGTACATTTGATAGGCACGTGTAAATCCATAATCCTTTTATAAGAGGCCGTAAGTTCATCTGGTAAAGAAATATATTTTAGTACAAAAGTGTGTTGACAGTTTCTTTACACATACAAATTCTGATTTACAAGAATATTTAATATCTAGAAAAATGTTCTCTTAAAAGTAATAATATCTAAGCATATATAAGACTAATATTTTTTTTTATAATTCCTGAAGCAACTACAGAGGGTGTTCACACATTTTTGTAACGATTTTGATTTTCTCCATGGATTAAAGTATTAAAATACAAACATGACTGGCATGAAATTTTAATTATTGTCTGCAGCATTAAAAATGTTCTATAAAATGTCATTGAAAAATAAACAATGGATCAAAGGCTATATTTTTGCGATGTTCAAAGAGAATAATTCAATTATTAAAAAAATGATGTAAAAATACGTGACATATGAGAGGAAAGAAATGTCAAAGTTTACATTTGACTAAAAAAGGCAAAAAATGTATACCCAACAAAGGTACGTAGAGCTCTAAATCTAAAGTTGCAGCTCATGTTTTAAAGGAAAATTCAGCCCCCATAGAGCTATTGCAAAATCTTTAAATATCTCTGTAGGAACTGTAAACAAAATTATAAAATCTGATTTAAAGCTAATAAAACAAAAACATGTTCATTGCATAATGCCAAAACATGCTTCTTGGTTTAAGACTGTGCAGATTGCTGTATGAAGATTATTAGGCAGGTGAGAAATGGAAATGTATAGTTATGATTAGGCTTGGATATACTTATATGACTGCAATAGAAAAAGATCTATTTACTACCGAAACAGAGGAGGAAAATATTTTGGTTCAGAGAAAATAAGGAAGGTTTTTCTAAAGGTTTTATAGCTATTACTGCATTCTCTTATAAAGGAAAACTTAAAATAAGGAAAGTAGAAAAAATATCAAAATTAATTCAGATTATCATCAGAAATATGTTTTAACACCTATTTTTAAAGAATTTCCATCTCTTTATTCAAACAATCTTCACTGTTTTCCATCATAATAAGGCTCCAAAACATACCTCTAAATATACTGCTCTATTTTTTTTTTTGAAAAATGAGAAATTAAACCTGAATTTAAGCTATTCCCTTTAAATGCATTCCATCCAAGTCCTCTGATGTGTCTCCTATGGATTACTGTGCATATGGACTTTTAAAACATGCTCTTTATAAGCGGCATCCCAAAACATTGGATGGACTCTGGAAGATTGTGAAGAAGAAGTGGAATAAAATCAATTTTGATACAAAGAAAAGGACTTAATCTCGGAAATTAAGATGTAATGATAGTTCAATGAAAGAGCTATCAGATTGTATATGTTAGAAAATAAAATTATAAGGTTTGTTTATATATAAATCTCTGTAAAAACATTACAAAAATGTGTGAACACTCTCTGTATATTTTTAATACTATCCAAAATTTATAAAATTTCCATATATTTTAAGATTCTTCTTATTAAGATATATTTTAAGGTAAATCTAAGTATATAATTCTAAATAAAATATGAATATCAAGATGAAAACATTTACTAAGAAGCAAATTTTAAATGCATTTATTACATTAAAACACATATAAACAGCACATAAATATAAGTAAAATATGTATAAATAACTAACATAGTATATAGATAAATAATAATAAGATAATATTTGTAAGAAATCTCTGTCACAACACAAATTTTTCATTTATTTTAGATTACTGGCGATGATTATGATGATGAACTCTTAGATCTAATCCTGAAACACAACTTGACATCAAGGATAATATCAAGTGGATTATACAAGCCAGTGATAGAATTCTTATTACATTGTCAAGATGACAGTAATATACAAGGCAGTTATAAATCAATCGACAGTATAGTTAAAGAACTTCATGAAGCGGGTTACGATTCTGAGGCTGCTAGCATTTTGCTCATTAAGAATTCTACACATACAGGTCTCAGCACATTTTCTTCTGCAATTAATGTTCTACATAGGTGGCTATCTGCAAATAAATCTTAGAATGTCTGTGATGATATATGATTATAAAATAAAATTTATATATACATGAAATAAAAACTTTTTTATTGAATTTAATGGTGCATCTTTTTATGAACACAGTATTTTCATACAAATTCATCATAATGCAAAATTCACAATTCCCCCCCTTGGATGCACAATTCTTAAAAATATCACTTTAAATCAAAAATTATATCAAGATTGTTAAAAATTGATTTTTCAAATTCAATAATGCTTTTTTTTTTCTATTAATATAAAATAACTGTGACGAAATAGTCAAAATCCATTAAAAAAACATATCTCTGAATTCAATGACTCTATTTTTTCAGTACTTAGAATAACACTGAGTAACAGGTACGTTGATTAATTACCAACAAAGATTTATTTTATACAAATTACTTTTATTGAAGATACTACAACAGATGAAAGAAGCAATTTCAGTTATTTAAAACTAATCCGAATACACTAAAAATAAACTGTCATGGTAGTTACATACTTTGTTCGTAAAAAATGTTTTATTCTATAAAAACATAACTGGCTAAATATTTTTAAAAAATTATAACTAAACGCCCAAAAGATATTTGAAAAGTGATTTTGTACCTCTAAATTCAACAATTTTATTTATCAGTTAATAAAAATTTGTTGCAAATAATGCAGGAAATTCAAATTTTAAAGCAAAAATCAGAAATAAGTAAAATATTATCATACTTCAAGTTCAGTCTTTTGTTCATAAATAATTACTTTCAAATATACCAATGTTTTGTTCTATAATAAAAATAAAACCGTGTATATAGAAACAAAACTACGGCTGGCTCTCTCTAATTTTAATTATTATTTCAATCATTAATTTCCTTAGTACCTCTTTAAGAGATAGAGATTTATTATTTTTTTTTTACTTCAGTTTTTAACTTACTTTTTGTTGTTATTTACTCAATATTTTAAATGCAGATGTAATATACCTAAAACTAATCTATGCAATTTGTGTAACTCAAAACCTGTAAAATATATTTTTTTAAACCAACTAGGAAAATAGATATTCAATTTGCTGATTTCTAGTGCAAAACTAAAAAATAAAAAATAATAATAATTTTAAAAAAAAGGAAATTTATGCAAAAAGAGCTTAGTAAATATATGTATAAACATGTTTTTAGTTTCCTATCTCTAGTTGAACATACATTATAATGAAACACACATACAACATCATATTTAATAGAACACACATTTTCGTATATTTATCATTTAGAAGAAAAGTTAAACACTGTATATCATATTCAACAAATAAACAGCATATATATGTATATAAATGTTATCCATTAATTTGAAATTCATCTTTGAACACAGGGTATAAAATTTATCAAAAAATGACATCAAATTAACATTATTTTAAAATGGAAATAAAAGAAACATTGTAATTCAAAAGTACACCATAATACCCCAAAGTTACATAAAAATTAATTCCTAGATGATCAATAGAATAAAGGCTGACTATTAATTTTCATAACTAAAAGAAAGACCATATTTGCTTATAATAAAAAGTTTAACTCTATATAGTGTAAAAATTATTAATCTCACAACTATCTGTAATTTACATTATAATTATAAAATCAGATGAACTTGTTGTAATGAAAGAATCTCTGATAGTGAATTCTGCACCAAAATTGACTTCATGTTTTCCTTAAAACCACGTTGTAATAAGCTTTTAGTAAGTTATTTGCTTCCTCCATTTTTACTACTGCTCATCGTCGATTGCCCAAATAATTGTCTCTGAAGTTTTCTTCCTAATTTAAATAAGATTTAACCTTCCTAATTTCAATAAGATTTAACCTCAATTTAAAAACATTTCCCTTTTTTAACAATTAGTCCTGGCTTCTCAATTTCTTCATGTATGAGATGATTGTGAAATTGTAGAATATCATAAAATGCAAATTTCTGTTCTTACTCTGCATTCAAATTTCACTTCAAATATGCCTAAACTACCCCCCCTCAAAAAAAATTCTACAGTCGGGGTATTACTGTACTTTGAATATAGAAGTAAGTTAGTGGAAATGTAATTAACTTAAGATAACATTTTATTTTCACAGTTCAATATAGGAGTATAATAATTCTTTTACTAGGTAGAATAATATATTTAACCACTTGCGCTAAAAAGACGCGCCACGCATGTCGAAATGCTTTTGTCTCAAACCACATGCAAAAATAAAAATAACGTGGTGCACACATCGCCTAACAACGAGATTGTTTATTTCTCAAGTTACAGCTCTGGATTGCACTCGCAGACGCAGAGCGGCGTAAATGAGACACTTTACCGCTTGTTATATTGTAGCGCACGGTACCGCAACCGTGAAGTTTAGTCGTAGCGCAAGTGGTTAATAGGTTGATCCTTAAAACAAAACTAATTAAAAAACTACAGTTTAGCAAATAAAATTAGAGGAATATTTCCCCATGCTTAAAGAACACATGTTAAAAACACATATACCATCATATTTAGTAGAACACACATTTCCATATTCACCTATTAATAGTAAGCACTTTACATTCCATTCAACAACGATCTATCTATATATATATAAACATACATTATCAACTGATTTAAAACTTATCTTAAACAGAATGCAAAAGTGATTAAAGAAAAAGCATATCTTTAGATAAATAAAATATTTTTTATAAAAATAAATAAAACATCTTAAAAGAAACTTTATACTGATAAAATATTTGGAATTCTAAGGAATATTAAGAGCAAATGTGATTTACATAAAAGTATTTCTTTTCAATCATCTTCATAATAAAAAATAATGAAATGAGGGGGGAAATTATTTCCCTGCACTAAATGGAATACATTATAACGAAACACATACATCACATATAAGAACACACATTTTCACTTGCTAGAAAGATGATTAGCATTCTATATCCTAATCAACAAGTGTATCCATGTACATACACAATATTCATCAATTTCGAATTCATTTTGGGCACTAGACCTCAAAAATGATCAATTAACAGCAATTTAAATTAAACATGCATTTCAAGACAATACAATTCTTAAATAAAAATAAAAGAAAATTATCACAATAAATACAATATCAGTCTTTTTACGATCTGGGAAATGGTATAATAGATGATAGCGTAACAATAGGATTATACAATAATGCTCCACAAATATTTACAGTTGTTCAGTATGTAATTTTGAAATTATAATTCTACATATTACAGAAGTCTGAAACAGAACAGTAAGATATTCGCTAAATGATTTATACTAAGTGTATAACATTGATAAAATATCAACATTTTTCACATAACTTCTCAAGAATCAAAATGAAATCTAAGTAACAAACCAACTGTATGTAATAAAATGCCTCAAATTGAACAATGAAATCCATCTCAGTATTTCATTAATATAACAAGAAAATAAACAGCATACCAAATATAAATTCTTTGGCATGATATGAACACTTTCATGGTGATAAATAATTAAAATATATGGCTCGTTATAATGAACACATTCAAATTTTTAATATCTTTGGCAAATTCTTAAAACTTCTTTTTCTAATTTAACTACTTATCACATTTCTTATTTAACAATTATCTGATTAATTAAGATACAATAATATGCCGGACAAGTATTCATTAAGAAGTCAAACAACATAAATCAGTGTTGTATTTTCAAATTTTCACAGGTCTAGTTTCGATGGTTTTACCGAACCAGGCTGAGTCAGCTAAGGATGAAGGTTCGGTAAAACCATTGAAACTAGTCCTGTGAAAATTTGGAAATAAAATGGTGATTTTTGTTGTTTGACTTCTAAATTAATTATCTGATTCTTAACCATGCCCCCTTTTTTTTAAATAAGAAATTTTTCTAAACATTTCAAGATGAATGAAACTTAACATTCCTACCTATTTTGAGTTAGATCATGTTATCTTTTACTAAATTACAGAACATATTAACTAGGTAGTTAAATCTACCCCATAATAAAAATAATAATTAATCTCAAATTTAAACTGATCTATTCCATGATAAAACAGTGTAATTAATCTCTTTTGATATTTTAATCTGACAAATTCACTCCAAAGATGATGTATTACCCTGATGAAAAATCCAGATAAAATAATGGGTGTCTACAGATCTCTCATCAAATAATAATTTAACATCCACTGCAAATAGTGTTTCAAAAAGGAAGAAATGCAAAAGGCTCTTATTCTCACCCAATGACTCAAAACAGTTTTCGTTTCGCTTAACATGTTCGCTACCACCAGCTAAATGACCAAATACGAATACTGCTGTAGTAAATGCATGCAATGTTTAGGTGTTTGACATGCAGGAAGGAATTAATACACTTGGTATACTGAAATGGATCACTTATATCTCGAAACTGTAAGTAAATGTTTAGAATGATTTTTGTTTGTTTGTTTATTTATTCACTTGGGAAATGTTATAAGTGGACTATTCAAATTCTTGTTCGGTAAATCGTGTCGGAGTAATGGAAAATAGCATATTGCAAATGAGGAGCTTTGCGTGAGTAGACAGAGAGGACGAGTATTGTTTTTATAGTTCTGAGTTATCTCGTAGCTGCCACAGGAAGCAGAAATGTTATTTCATACACCAATTACACATATACTCATGTGAATTTAATTACTACTACTACCTGTTATATTTATATCTCAATAATAAAACAACAGAAAACAATTTTAAAGTGTAAAAATGCAATTAAAATCTTGGCATGTGTAAACAGACACACATAATCAACTTTGACAGTGATCATGTTAACTTTAGGATATGTTGTTTCTATATTGGCACAATGCTGTATATTAACGTGGCTGGCTCCAAATACAGGTAACTTTAGCAATCATCTAGACTACATTAAGTTGTTCTCATAAGCAAGAACTAAAGGTTTGCAATGAACACCCTCATCATAACCGTCTCCACAGAAGACCAATGTGACCTTAGGAAGCATTCACAATATTTTGCAATGACTTATTAAGTTGTTCAACTACTACAGAGATTACTACTTACACCAACTGTACTGATTACCCAGGGCATCAAAACTCCAGGAGCTGGGACTAAGTATCAGAACTGTATTAAGCATTTGCTTAAATTAAAAACTGAGAGGGACAGCAGTATTAAAATATAAAAAATTTACATATATGAAAATGCTATTTAATTTATTAAATTAGGTATTAGGATGCACAATTTTTAGATTTGCCTCAGTAATTAATATCTATTAGCAAAGTTCTGCTAGGTATTAGGGCATTTAAATATGATTTAGATTTAAAAAAATTGGTACATCTTCCAAAGCATGTTATTATTTGAAATAATTCCCCTGTGCTGCAATGCATCTTTACAAGTAGACTGAAAAGTTTTACTTTCTCTTCAAAGAAGGTGTATGTATCCATCTCAAACTACTCTGATGAATGACACTGAAGAATCCCAAGGATTAACTAATAAATACAGCGGAGTCTTTTACAGTTAAACATTGTTTCATCTAGGTACCAATTCCATCCTATTTATTTTAATAGTAAAATATTTCTTTTACACATCACATACCTTTGGCTATACATTGCTTTTGTGTGACTTACTGCACTGGTTTTCTTTCAAATACTTTTCTCGGAAATGGGGAAAGGAGGAGGAAACAAAGGCAGGACACGCTTGGAGGAGCAGAATTAACTGATACAAAATATCATGAAAGCTAAAGGCACTCTCATTATAAGATAAAATTCAAATCTTAAAAAGAATTTGATGAGAATACTGGTTTGACAAAAATTGAGTTGAAGAAAGAGCAGAAATTTGTACAATTTGCTTCAAAGAAACTGCATGTTCAAGATGGAAAATTTCTTGAGGTCAAAGCCATTTTGATACGATTTTTCATTCAGTGTCGTGCATCCAATATTCTTGTGAATTGAGAATTCATGTTAATCGAGAAATTAAAAGAAGTAACACTTGAATTGAATGTGAAGAAAGCTTACTTTTCAACTAGATGGCTGCATAAATTTAAATTGCAGCTTGAAATCTCATCTCATATACTAAATGGAAAATCAAAAAACATTCCTGCTGACTCAGTTGAAAAGTGGTTCAAGAATTTATCCACTAAAATAGATGGATTAAAAGATATTTATAACACTCATGAAACAGCTCTTTTCTTTAAACTTATACCTGCAAGAAACTTAAGTTTCAAAGGTGCCCAGTAAGCAAAGAATGTCTCACTGCTTTACTTTATGTAAATGCTAATGGTATGGAAGAGATAACTCCTTTAGTTGCAGGAAAGTCAAAAACTAAGCTGCTTCAAAACTTCTAAAACTCTGCTATTAGAATATAAAGTAAATAAGAAAGCATTCATAAATACAGACTTTTTAAATAATGGCTCAAGAAAATAATAGGCAAAACTATTAGGAGACAAAACCGTAAAATTTTACTTTTTATAGATCAGTGTACCACCCAGTTTCAAACGACAAATTTTTTTGCAACATGTTTCTTGCAAATGTTCTTTTCTTCCCAGGAAATTACACTAGTGTAGCACAACCTTTGGATCTGGGTGCCATTATGAATTTGCAAATGTTCCACCAGCAAAGGTTGATCCAGGTTCACTTGCCTGGACAAACAATCATAAATTGCTTTATTAAAAAGGGATTTTTTAACCCAATCCAATTTCGAATTATTATTTTTTCTACAGAAGATGCCCAATCTGGATTAAAAAATGTCCCCCCCCTTTTTTTTTTCTTCTGCTGACATTTTGCAACTAAAAGAAGAATGAAATCTATTTAATGATATTTTAAAATCAATTCAGGTATTTTATATTTATTCAGCAGCATGCATAAGCAAAAAATATGTGCATTAAATTTCATACTGCTAGAATTAGTTCCAGGATTCGTAAAAATTTGAAAGTATTATTTACTAATAATAAATCAACTTAGGGGGAAGAAGCAACATTAAATGATATGAGTAACATAAAAAAAATTAAAAATTGAATAATCAAGGATATTTTAACGAATATAGTCATATTAAATGGTTAGCCTGGATGACTAATTACAATTTTTTGTTTTACTGCAAAATGACAAATAAGGCATTTATTAAAAAGAAAAAATAAAAAGTTAAAATATTTTGTGGTATAATTCTAGTAGTATACCCTTCGATAACATTGAAATGCTTTTAAAAATTGTCACGAACACCAAAATTAGCCTTTTACTGCTTATCATAATGTCGACGAATCCCGTGTGTACTGCAGATGGAGGTTAGAATAGAATTCATAAACCTCTATGGTGCCGTATACTAGGATTGAACCGATTTTGTTTTATATGAAAAAACATATTTTCTTTAATTAAACATGCACTGCACAAGTGAGTCTCTCAATTCTCGACCTTACTGGAAACCTAAGTTGCTGGAAACTTGCTTTGCCTTTCTAAAAGACAATCTAAATTGGAAATGCGAAAATTGGCTCTATGCCAAATGCCCGAATGACGTTCATGTGATACATAATTTGCCAAGAAAGTGATCGCTTCCAACGTCAGCGCAAAACTCGCGTTGGGGGGGGGGGGAGATCGCAGTATGAAATTCCCTGACTTTTCCAGATTTTGACTAAAATATTTAAATTCCCTGAATTTTTTTGGTCAATTTTCGAATTCCCTGACTTTTTCCGGTTTTCCAGGTAGCGTGGCAACCCTGTGTACAGTTGAAGAACTGATTGAAAACATTTAAATGATGGGGATGAAGAAGAAATAATTCAGACTTCTTATCAAAATGCTAATTATTGCATTGATATCCTCAGAAATTTCTCTGTGTGTAACAATACATTGTTCAAAAAAATTAAAATTGGCTTTAAAATGCTCTTTGGAAAAAAAATGTAATATTTTAAATAAATTGAAAGTAGGATAATAAAATTGTGTAATATCAGTAGTAGGTTAGTAGTATCAAAATTTTATATTTAATGTGTCTCATTATTGAATATATACATTATAAAGTATTGTTTCTACATCTTAGTGAATGGTCCCTTGAAAGACATATTGCTTCACTGTATTTCAAAACAAAATAGTATAATAGTGATCTAAATAGCATTCTGAAGTCATGGAAAACTAAACTCGAGTTTAAAATTAAAAATCTAAAATAAAAAAATACAGATTTTTATTTATTTTAAATAGCATAACAATGTTTCAAAGAAATATTATAAGGAATATTTTGAAAAAATAATAAAATAGCAGTTTAAATAACGTTAATGAAGATGTCATTAAGAATTAAAATAAGAAAGTTTAAAAGCCTTTAAACCAAAAGATACATAGAATTTTATAAGATTTGGAGGCACCTCCTAAAAATATAGGGTATCTGCCCCTTTAGTCCTTGCATGAATCAGGTGCAATGTGTAATGCGAAAAATGTTGAGAGTCAGTGCATGTATTGGCATGCCTTTTCCTATTCCAAAAAAATTTGCTGCCAAAAAGAAAGTTTGATGTTATTGAGAGATATAATTTTTAGACACCCTATATTTTAGTGTAATCCTTTGATTGCACTTATCCAGGAAGAAAAGTTAGTAATAGTGAAACAACTGAGAAACCCAGTAACAAACATGCCATTTTTACCATACGATCATCACTAGAATTTAGCTCATGAGGCAATACCTCAAAAAAGGTAACATACATGAATGTTCCTGCAGCTAAACCCTGCAAAACTCCACTTGTGACTAGCATGCTTAAACCTTTGACAAAATCAATCAAAACCACCCCAATAACAATGCCAACGGGTGAGGTAAGGGAAAAAATAATGTTTCCCTTTACAATGCTTCCCTTTTTCAATTTGCTATGAGAGAGATTCAGGCTAAGTGTAAAAGCTAGAATGCATTTATGGATGAGAACAGCCAGCAATATGCGGATTACACTTTCGGCAGAAGCTTGGAGACCAATAGCCAGGCCTTCAAAAACAGAATGTAATGAAAGCGCAAAAACTAAAAATAAAGAACGTAAAACAGAATGCGAGCTCTGGTCTTGATGGAAAGATATTTCATGATCATGATGTTCGGTGCGTTCATCATTGACTGCTCCATAATTATTTATTGTAGTGTAGACTTCACCATCAAGATTTTGATGAGAATGTTCGTGAACCAGAAAGGGTACTTTTTCTTCATCGAAATCATCCTGGCAATTCAGCACGATCTAAAAAAAATATTTAAAAAAGTAAGAAAATTTGTCTGTCCTAAAAAAAGACATTTATATATTTTTTTTTACAATTACAAAACAATTTTTTTAAAACAAAATATAAACATGCCTAGTATTTTCGTGCATTAAGCTGCTGAAAAATTATCCGTAAAGTAAGAAATTTAGAACTAATTTTTCACAAAACTGAAATTCATAATTAATACATTTCAAATAATCCTATAAATGCAACAAGGAATTTAAAAAATGTTAAAGCCAAAAATTTTAAACAAGCATTCAAAAAATTAATGACATTTAAAGGACAAAACAGAATAAACATAAGAAGAATTCAATCAACTTCACTTCGTCAGGGGAAGGAACATTAAAATCAATTGAAATTTCCCTTCTATAAATAAAACTCCTTGCTTTTCTGTATCCAGAATTCAAGAACTTTTACAAATGTGGAATTTATAAGCTTTCAACTTATTGCGAACATTCAACTGAAGGTAAAGCAGATTATTTTGCTGAATAAAATGCATTTGCAAGAAATTACTAAGTCATTATTTTACAACGACAACTACAAAACAAATATTTCTGAATACCTGATATAACGGTAGGAACCAGAAAATTTGCAAAACGGGTAAATTATACAATTTTTACAATGTTGAATTTTTTAAATTAAAATTAAATTTTTAAATTAATCTTTTGAGGCCGGGGAATTGGTAGCAGTAAAAGCTACCAAAGGACGGGGAATCTTGGACCGAATGCTTTCCTCCCTTTAAGAAATCACCTATTTGCAACAAAGATTCTTGTGTGTAGTTTAATAGATTCTCAGAGGGGTTCGCAAAAGGAAGACCTTTGAAAGAGATAATTGGTTAAAACCCCAGGGATGTCAAATTTGATATTTCACCCCACTTTTCAGCTTGGAAAATGGAGTAAAAAGACATGGCCACTAAAATGAACAACTCCGTCTTTTCAAAGAGAGGACTCTATGGCCACTATAATGGCCATCCCGTCTTCAAAAGGTTAAATTAGACTTTCTGTTTAGGCTGCATCGACCACCACTGGCTGACAGCGGTAACATGATATATAACTATAACATTTACACTGTTTTAAGGAATTACAGAAAATTTATTTAAAATTCACTTAAATTTGATTCATTACAGGACTAATGGATTTCACTGAAACATGGTAAACATAATGTGACAACTCTCTTAGTCTTTTTTCTGGCCATTACTCTACCAGCTTCTGTTGCATTTTTATTATAACATAATTTACAATATTTCCATACATCAGAGGCTTTTCCTGGTTTTCTTTGGAGTTTATGTTGTCGTGTTTTAGCTATTCTTGCATTTCTGTTCAATGGAATGTCTTCTTTTTCACAACTTGTAAGGGATAGTGCTAATTCTTTCCGGAATTCAGTAATGCTAATTTTCTGCTTCGTAATATCTTTGTATAAAACATAACTATTTACAACCGCGGTATTTAGTAACAATTCGAAGGCTAGTTTTTAATACCATTTTATGGTCCTACGTATTGCTGTAGGCATTCATTTGGTCGGACAAGTCAACAGCTGCCTTTTGTCTGTGGTAGTCTACTATAATTTGTGGCCCTACCGCGATAAGAATCACTGGCTCTACAACAGGTGAATCTTTTAAATTGTCAGTTTCCAATTTTTTTATTAATAGAAAAATTATTTTTTATAAATGCCTGTTATATGCAAAAAAATTAGAAATATTTTTGACATTTTGTCTTGTGTCAAGAGAAAATTTGAGAAAATAAAGGGAAGATAAATATGTTAAGAAAAAGACTTTAAGTATCAGAAGTACAACATTCAAACATTATGTTTTCTTTGTCCTTCCAAAAATTCTCCAAAATGTAAGAAATTCATCACAAACTTTTTGTAATATACATCCATTATGTGTTAATACAATGAAGACATTTTTCTGGAGCGTTGTAGAATTGTGGATCTTTAAAAATCTTGTCTTCAGATCCTTCTAAACTTTCCAATTTGCAAAGTTTAAAATCCTGAAGAAAAATTAGCTCTACCAATTCAGTAAAAGAAAAAAGGCCAGAAATGTTTTTTTTTGGGGGGGGAAACAGTGGAAAAAATATTAAAATAATTGGTACTTTTCCGTTTCGCCGGCGCAAATCTCGCCAAGCAGACTTTATTGGCGACAACATACAGTATACACATAAAAAATATTAAAAAATTTAGTTCTAAGAATTCTTTTTAAAAAGAAGGCATAAACATTTTAATATTGCTTAAATTATAAAAAGCCAATAATATAGACAACAAATTTGTAAAAAGACATTAAGAATTTACTATGCTTTCATTGTTCAACATCCGATTCGCCGGTTCATATCACGTGACCCCAAGCGATCTCATCTCACGTAAACTACTCTACAAAAATCTAATGCTCTTAAGTAATTATCCACATTAATTTCAAGTTAAATCTTAATTTGGAACACAAGTTTAAATGCAAGAAATATTTCAATTCATACGAATAGCTTACTCAGAAATTATGTAAAACTGCAGTGCTTTACTTCGCTAATGCATTCTCATTAGAAGTGATGAATTTAACCCTTGACTTTACCTTTTCTATATTTTTTCGGCTTCGGGTAAGTGCTGTGATTGCATCCTAATTAACTTAATTACCGAAATTGCCTTAAACATAAAACTGAACTATCTGATAAAAATTCTATGTAATGATTGCCAGTACGAAAGAACAATCAATCTGATAAGAAAAAGCTGCGACTTGTTTTTGAAAATGAGGCGTAAAAGGTTACCAGCGAGAATATTTCGTTTGGCATGGGTTGTACCATTATTGGCGACTTTATCGCTTGCGCCGGCAAAACGGAAAAGTACCAAATAATTTTATAGAGAAAACAGATGCATATTCTGACAATTCCGAATATTTTGAGACAATTACACGGGAAAAATTCTTACCATGCAAAAATTAAAAGGTAGAGATCTTTAATTAATTACATAGCTAATTTCCTTTTGCTACATAGCAAAATAGCTATGTAATTAATTAAAGCTATATAGCAAATAGCTATGTAATTACGTAGCTATAATTAATTATAGCTATGTAATTACATAGCTACTTTACTTTTGTTTTGTAAACTGTGCTTTATAGCATTTATTACCTTGTTTATCTTTCAGATTCAAAATACTGTTATAAGTCGTCGCCAAAATTAAAGTAATGTCACTTGATAATATGCCAGCAAAAAAATAAAAATGTTTTATTTTAATGTTATTCCTTAAATATAATTTCAATATATTACCATTATTTTAGTTAAATTTATCAATGTTATAATCTTCTAAAAAAATCGTCGAAAAATTCCCAGATCTCCGAATTAAAAATTTTCTATAGAAACTCATCTTTCTCTGAAGAAGCCCTCGGTTCTATTTAACTAAAATTCGTATCAATCATGTTAATCACATGAACTGCATAATAAGTGTAGGCAACACTGAACTTAGGAATTGCACTAAATTGAGAAAGTTAGATCCCAACTTATCTGCCTTTTACCATTCCAACCTATGGCATAACTTCACATTATTACTGTACTGATACAGTCAAAAGTCATTAATCCGGACTCGTCGGGACTTCGGTGATTCCGGATTATCGATTTTTCCGGATTATAGATCATCAGTTTAAATCTGGTAAGATGGCATGCAGAAATTATAAAATTAAAAATATGAAACCGTAATTTATGAAATAAAGAACAATTATGATCTAAAGGGTATCAAAATTTACAAAAAAAAAATGCTTAATATTTATTTGTTTACTTTATTAAACATTTCTTTCAATGTAAGTTGTTTAAGTTGCTTCGTTTTTATGTGATAATATATTCTCTTTAATCTATAAACAGACAAAGTTTCTTTCGGAAGCGAATTATAACCTGACAGGAATGTGATTTAAATCATATCAAAGACGGAGTACATTGAGATGAAATACTACATTTAGTAAGGAATTATAAGCCAAATAAAATAAAAACATCTGCCTGCCCTGAAGATAAGGATAGTGCTGACAGATCAACTTCCAATTCATTGCGCGCTGCAGCGTTAAATAACAAAGTTTAGAAAAACAAACCTTAAGTTTAGATAACAAAGATATGCCTTTATCCATTTTTTGCAGCAATTCCACTTTTTGTTTAATGAACTTCGAAACATACTTTCGCTTTGGAATCCTTTACATATTAATAAATATATATCAGAAATTCTATTTGACATAATTGAAAGTTCAAGCTTACTTTTATAAAATTGCTCTAACAGTCTGCAAAAAATAATAAGCCGGATCCAATTCGAAGATTAAGGAACAATGCAATCTGCAACATTAACTGAAATAGATAATTAGATAATTTTAGCTTAGCTTATACCGTCTGTTATACATTAAACGCGCACTCATAAACATATTTTACGCACGCGCACAAGCATATTCGCAGCCGTAAAGGTCCTGCGCGCATGAGTCAACACGACGCATGCGCAGAAAGTTTGTAGCTTTGAGGTCCGAATTATGGGTGTCCGAATAAACGACTTTTGACTGTATAGGTATAATACTCATCAAGCTAGAAATAAATCATATACCGATAGTGTTTTTGTCCCTTTAATTTTTTCACACTTAGTGCATATGAAGCTTAGATTTTTGAAATAACCAGAAATCAGATGATAAAGTCTGGATCTGGATTTTGAATCGGACTGATTCTCAAGCCACCAGGGGACAGGATTATCTCATTTATAAGCATCACAATCTCTTTGAAAGAAAGGCATCACAGTTCCTGACAATTATGCTGAAGAGTGCTAATAAAGAATTAGCTAATTAGAAGCAATTAATAGCTAATATTATATAGCTTAATAATATATAACATAAAAATTGTATAATATAATAATATATATGTATATATATATATATATAATGTTGTATGAACTTAAATCCATTTAGTGCGAATACAAGTTATTATTACTTGCGCAATTGCTGCAAAGTTAGTTAATAATATTTATTTCCTAAACCGTATTG